ACTTCACTGGTCATAGACAAAATTAGCTTATCAGAAGGTATTTTGTCTGTCATCCATCTCTTCTCCATCAATTAGCACAAGTTTATTGTCACTTCTCCTCAAAAACTACTTGAAGGACTCTTTATGCACACATTCATCTTATGGTCTAGTTGCTCCTACATGAAATGGAACTGCTTGGACATCCAATATGGCTGCCACAGTAGCCATCTTGAAAATGTTTTTATCACTACTCCTCTTGAATGTATAAATATATCAACATGAGGATTTTACTAGAATACCTCTAATGATGTCTATTTTGTCCCAAATGAAAATGGTACTAATCTGACATCCAGCATGGCCACCATGGAAGCAGTCTTGACAATCTTGTCATCGTTAAGTTATATCAACATGGAGTTTTAACTGATAGACTTCTTATGATATCTAGTCGGTCCCAAATGAAAATACTGTCAATCTGATGCCCAATATGGCTGCCACAACGGCCTTCTTTAAAGCATTGTTAATCTACCCTTCCTGAATGGTTGATCATTATGACATGATGGGGTTTTCACCATAAAAGCTTCTAATGATGTTCACTTTGTGCTAGAAAAATTTTTTGCCAAAATGGCACACAGTACATGTACCACAGCAACTACTTAGAAAATCTTATTTATTGCTGAAACATAGAGATGGTTTCAATACTCAGCCTTTAAAAAAACTGGTCTGGTCTTGAATTCGTGCAGAGTGTCAGTCTCTTCAAGGGACTCTTGTTATGTCAATGTCCCACTTATATCTGTCCTAGTACCATCATATTATTTTTGAAGACAATGTTGCTGCTTTTGTATGCTGCATGATATCTTCATTGTATTTCAATTTATTAATTTTGTACAAATCGTGCCAATTTGTAGACCATTAACTATGGCCAATGTTACAAGCAATAGAAACCTTCGAATGAAAATATAAAAAGAAAAATGTACAGAAAGCATCATGGAATGAAGGCTTTTTAATTTGCACAAGTGATATGAATTAAACATCAAATTATATTACCACCATGACCTAAAACAAAAAAATTAAATGCCTTTATTTAGTTATTTAGTAGGCTGGATGCAAGGGAAATTGACTATTGAACTAATAACATAAAATTTCTCAGCCATTTTGTTATTTGATTGACAGATTATTATATTTTTGAAAAAAAAAATTTACAAGACTTTTTAAAGTTTAATGCTGGGGACTAAAACTCCAACTTCCCTGAGGGCAGCATGTGGGCATTTTTGAAGACTCAAGAACTGCAATGCCTTTGTTATTTTTCATGACACCTTGTGACACCAATCATTTTGAGGGCAACATGATACAGCAGGGCAAGATATGGTTTAAGATCACAGGTTTAATACAATAAATTTTTTCCCCATCATCCATTGACTTCTAGCATCATTTCAAAAGACAATATAAAAAAGCTCCTATTGTAAAGGCATATATAAAATAGTTTTTTCAAAAACATGATGACAGGTATGTCTCAGGTGAAGTTCTGTATAGTAACCTGATGTCAGTGAACATTACCTTTGTTGTTCTTCGTTTGTTTTTTATGGTCACTCTGTGTCTTTATAGATGACTAAACTTTACAATATGGAAACATTTGTTGAAATTCAATTGGCAAAAAATGAATAAACTGAGTTGTGTTTCATATGAACAGATTTCAATCAAGTTATATGGACAACCATATAGAATTTTTAATTAAATTATCTGGTCAGTGATGGACAAATTTCAGTTAAGTTCTACGGTCAATGATAGACAAACTTCAGTTAAGTTTTATGGTCAATGATAGACAAATTTCAGTTAAGTTACATGGTCATTGTTAGACAAATTTCTTTTTTCTGCTCATAATCATAATTCTACAATTTCTTTTCATATTACACAAGAGTTGAATCCCCTTATACACCATATTCAATAGTCCAGTCCCTGTTGAAACCACTTGAAAACTTAAGTCCCTGTATACACAACTTGAAATGCTTTAATCCCTGTTTATTTAACTTGAAAAACTTGTCCCTGTAAACACCTGGACTTAAAATATTCACGTTGAATAGTTAAGTACTCATCATATATACCACTTGAATAGTTAAGTCCTCATATGTACCACTTGAATAGTTAAGTCCTCATATATACTTCTTGAATAGTTAAGGTTCTATATACATCACATGAAATAGTTAGTCACTGTAAACAACTCTTGAAATACTTATGTACCTTTATATATCTCCTGAAATTAAAACATTGTAGACAACACTTGCAGACACCATTTGAAATACTTAAGTCTCTGTAGACACCACATGAAATATTAAAATCTCTGCAGGCATTACTTGAAATACTCAAGTCCCCATATATGCCATGTGAAATACTAAAGTCCCTATATATATTCCTTGTGAAATACTTAAGTTTCCATATATACCATGTGAAATACTTGAATCCTCATATATATGATGTGGAATTAGTTAAGTCCCCATATACACCATATGAAATAATGTAAGTTCCTATAATACAACACTTGAAATGATTAAGCCACTGTAGGCACCACTTGAAATACTTAAGTTCCTGTAAATGTACACTATTTGAAATAGTTAAGTCACTGTGATTTTCATTCATGTGATGGTGGGCTTTACAATTGGCAGCATGTGTTGCTATTTAGATACCTTTAGATTTTAACATGATCTGACTTGTTGCAGTCAGATTTATATGAATTTATTGTGACATGGTCCATTGTCCAACATGCTGCTTGAATACATGTGTTTTATGCAGAATATGATACATGAGTACAGATTGTTTTGTGTACTGAAATATGAAACACATTAGTTGAGAACATGTTTTGTGTATTAAAATATGAGATGCATACTAGTTGAGAACAGGTTATTTTGTGTTAAAATATGAGATGCATGCTTGTTGAGAACAGGTTGTTTTTGTGTGTTAAAATATGAAATACATACTAGTTGAGAACATGTTTTGTTTGTTAAAATAATGAAACATACTATTTGAGAACATATTGCTTGGTGTATTAAAATATCAAAGATAGGTTGCATGAGTATAGGTTTTTAGTGTTAAAATATGTAATACATGCTGATTGAGTACAAGTTGTTTTGTATATTAAAATATTAAATACATACTAGTTGAAAACATATTGTCTTGTGTGTTCAAATGTGAAATACATACCAGTTGAAAACATATTGTTTTGTGATCAGATATGAAATACATACTAGTTGATAACATATTGTTTTGTGTGTTCAAATATGAAATATATACTAGTTGAGAACATTGTTGTGTTTAAATATGAAATATATACCTATTGAGAACATATTGTTTTGTGTATTCAAATATAAATTCATACTAGTAGAGAACATATTGTTTTATGTGTTCAAATATGAAACAAATGCTGTATGAGAACAGATAGTTTATGTATTTTTTATAATATGAAATAGGGCTTCAAGTGATCTAAAGTGATCACCATTACAGATCACTGTCATCTCACCTTTGTCTGCATGGGTTCAAGTCTCAGGTGCAGCCAATGTGGGTAGGTGAGAAAACTTACCAGTAGCTTCTCATGGGTCGGTGGTTCTCTCCTGGTTAGCCCAGGTTCTTCCTCTATTTATACTGGCCGCCTTGTATAGCCTATTTTGTGCTGAAAAATGGTGTTAAACCCTACAGCAACAACATTAGTATGAAACACATGCTAGTTACTACCAGTTTGTTTTGTGTATTAAAAAAAAGACAGATTACTTGAGTACATGTTGTTTTGTGTGTTTAAATATGATACATGTGCTGCCAGTTTTGTGTGTATATGAAACACAAACTAGTTTAACAGGTTGTTTTGTGTGTTAACATATGAAATACAGATTAGTTGAGAACAGTAATGTTTTGTGTGTTAAAATATGAAACAAAACTAGTTGAGAAAAGGTTATTTTGTGTGTTAAAATATGAAAGACTGATTAAGTAACTTCAGGTTTTTTTGTGTGTTAAAATAAGAAACATTGCTTCAGTACATGTTTTGTGTATTAAATTATATAATAATAATAATAATAATAATAATAATAATAATAATAATAATAATAATAATAATAATAATAATTTATTTATTTATTTATAGAGGATGACTCATTAAATTAATCAAGGACTATTCTCCCTTGGGGCCCTATTAAGTAGAGTATAACAATGTGCATTAGTAATAATTACTAATTATTTTAACATGTTTAGTATTAAAATACTAATTAGAAATACATGTTCATGATATCTCTTCTTAAATACTGTAATATTTTCAGCAGATTTTACATACAGAAGCTTGTTCTACAGAACTGAACCAGAGTATTGGAAGCTCTTTTTGAAATGCTCTTTTCTTGGATTTTGAAGATAAAGGTTTTCCATGTGATGTTGATCTCAAGTTATATTGTATTGAATAAGGTCAGAATGAATCCTGAAGATACTCTGGTGCTGTTCCATGCAGACATTTATGTATAAGAACTGCCACATGAAAATTTATTCTTTTCATATATTGTAAACCATTTGAGTTCTGTAAACAATGCTTTTTAGGGATGATAAATAGATGCATTTAAAATTATGTATGCTGCTCGTTTCTGAAGTTTACAAATCCTGTCAAGCTGAGATTTAGCATATTTTCCCCATACATTTGTACAATAATCAATTGTTGGAAGTATATATGACTTGTAGTGTAGATTGTGAGTTTCCATAGTAAATATTTCTTGATTCTGCTGAGTAGGGCAATTTTGGATGACAGTGTTTTACAAAGCTTACCAATATGGTCATTCCATAATAAATATTTATCTATGAACACATCTACAAGCTTTTAATGTTTGACATTTTCTAAGGTATGATTATTTATTGCAAGAGATAGTTCTGGGTTCCTGACTTGTGTAGCTTTTGTGATGTCCTCAAATTCATACATTTTGTTTTACCTTTACTTATTACCATCCTATTTTGTTGTGCTTAGTTTTCGACTCTAATAAGGCCTGAGTTTAATAACTGCTCCTGTGGCCTAGTGGTTAAAGCATCCTCCTTGGATGTGGGAGGTGGTGGGTTCGATCCCCGGTCAAATCATACCAAAGACTTACAAAAATGGTACTAACAGCTGCCTTGCTTGGTGCTCAGCATTAAGATGTTAGTGTTAGGACTGGTCAGCCTGGTGTCAGGATAATGTGACTGGGTGGGACGTCATGCTACATGTCTGTGGCATGATGCCCCAGTGCTTGACATCACTATAAACTGCCACACTGCAGACATCGTAGCAATATGACTGAAAAATTGTTAAAGCTACATTAAAAATCATAATCACATCACCTGAGTTTAATCTATTTTGGATAACTTCAGTATCAGAACTAGATCTATGCAAGGTTGCATCATCTGCAAACACATCTTTATTTGTGGATTCATTATTTATTGGTAGATCATTGATATTGATAAGAAAGAGGTAAGGGTCTAAAACTGAGCCTTGAGGGACCCTTGAATGAATAGTGTGGGTTTGAGAGTTAATATTCCAAATGTTTACTTGTTGCAACCTTTGGTTTAGGTATGCTTTGAATCAGTTTAAAGAAGGATTGTCATTTTGTATATTAAATTATGAAATGCATGTGGCTTTAGTACAGGTTGTTTTGTGTTAAAATATGAAACACATGTGGCTTTAACTACAGGTTGTTTTTGTCTGTTAAAATATGAAAGGTTTTGTTGGTACAAGTGCATTTTTTAAAATTTTAAATATGAAACACATTCTGCTTGAATATAGCTTGTTTTGTATTAAAATTTGGAAATCTTTTTTAATAAATTATTGGTGTACATATTTTGTAGCTTTTGGTATACATTTTCTGTATATATAGTTAGTATACATTGTTTTGTAGATATTTGATAAATATGTTTTAAAAATATTTTTGGCATAAATGTTTTCTTGATAGTTTATTTTGCTTCTATTTCTATTATACATTTTTTATTAGGCATTTATTTTGTATGGATATTTAGTATACCATTGTTTTTGGTATACATTTTATTAGATTTTTTAAATCAAGCTCTATGTTTGCTAAATTATACCTGGCAGTAGACATACAGTTTAAAGGCAAGTAAAATATCTCAAAAATTATAAAGATGACAACTATTTAGAATTGCATGAAGGTATTAAGTGGACAATGCTTTTCAAAAATGTCAACAAGGGAAAGGGATTGGGTTTGCACTGTGAGCATCAAGTGCTATCAAAAATGGCCTTCAGAAATGAAAAAATGAATGTATAAATATGGGGTGGGTTGCTTAAATTTTTTCTTGTGAACTTCCATTGACTGCACATTAAGTTTGTGCATAAGAGATGCCTCTTTCAATCTGAGGCATGTAAAAGGAGCTAACTTAGTGTGTACCTATGTATGATAAGGACATTATTGATTGGTGTGTGATTAATATGGTCTGAAAAAGAAAAATTAGCACATAAAGCATGGTAACAATGATAATAATATAATTAGACTCTTTTTGAAATTTTGTCATCAGGAGCCATATTGGATTTTACCTTACAAATTTGATAATTATTTGGATTATTAATTATATTATTAAAACAAGAGCAGAAAAAAGGCTTATTGGCAATGTCCATATTAGTATTTTGTGTTGATTTTTGTCTCTGTATAATGCAGATATCTCTCCAATTATAATGCACCTCAATATTGTATGATTTTGTATATAACACAGTTCTACACTGAACCTCTTGACCAAAACTATACCAACTTATAACAACAAGATTTAAAAAAAAAACAAGGCAAAATTTAGTCATATCTTCATTTCAGTTTCATGACACCATTATTGACCAGATTTGACAGTACCTGCTATACCACAAAACTTGGTATAACACGGTTGGCACATAACAGGGTTGGTGGTTATGGACCCTAGCTATTTCATTATAGCTGGCGAGAGCTGTACTTTCCTAAAATTGCAGTTTTGTTTGGACCAGCTGCCAGCTTGTATTTCACATGGCTTATAACCATAATGACTGTTTTAGATTAAAATGACTTAAATATTCTTCCTTACAATAGGAAGCTACCTGTCATAGACAGGGGATTTTTTTTTGCTTCTTTTTCTTGAAATCACAATCCATTTTAAGATGTCATTATCTTTAATTTGGCCATAAATCTGTTTTCAATCTCCTCCATAAACGTAATGAGATGAATAATAAGTACAAAATCCAGTGATAAAAGAATGACCATAAAATTAATAAAATGACATACTCTGTTCGTTAGTGTATCAGTCTGTCAGTCTCTTTGGCTATCTTGCTTCAAGACAACAGTGTGCAAGCATTAGATTAATAGAAGCATTAAATTAATAGTGACATTGTATCCCCATTATGGAAAAAACATAATTTTTCTTCATGGTTCCCATATAGGATTTAAAGACACGCATGATGCAGATTCAAGACAGCCTCAATGACACAGATATATATATATATATATATATATATATATATATATTTATATATTTATATATATGAGAAAAAGAGACAAAGACAGAGAGCTCAACTTACATGTGAAATTTGCTTGCTTATCCACTGCTCTAAAATTACATATAAGAAGTGCTTTAGTTCCAGGGGAATATTTTACTGGGTATTTAAACTCTCAACATTGAATTGTTGAATTGTCGACAGTAGTATATACTATTTTATTATTTTATTTTCACATAATGTAAAAGCATAAACATCCACACATGCTGATTGTTCCTTAAATAACTACTTTGTCATATGATCATATTATGTGTTGATAAGATCTCTTATTAGACGTAGTAAGTCCTATGTACGTTGAAGTTTGACCGTATTTAAGCATGATTTTTAGCCCTTTTAGCTCTAATACAAAGCTATATTCTGGGTTATATATCTGGGTTATATTGTTTGTCTTACAAATTAGAGACATGTTAAAGACTGTTTATTATTCTCAAATTAGAAATTTATCAAAATTTGAGATATGTATACTCAAAAGTCTTCCTAATTAGCGATATATCAAAGGCTAAGGTTTGTCTTGCTAAATAGTGATATATCATAGACCATGATTTCTATGCTTGAAAGTCTCTTAAGCAGAGGGACCCAAGTAGCTGCATGGTCTAAGGCCATCAGAGATCACTGACATCTCACTTCTGTATTTGTGGGTTCGAGTCTCTGGCTAACGGCCAATGTGTGTATGTGAGATAGCTTGATGGTAGCTTCTTGTGGGTTGATGGTTCTTCCCTCTGTTTTCGTGGGTTCTTCTGCCACCAAATTTACTGGCCATCATGAATAGTCTATCGTGTGCTGGATAATGGCATTAAACCCTTAACAGAAACAACAACAAAACTCCAGTAAAATAGAAGCAACTGACAAGTTTATTTAAAAATAAATTTATTTCTCAACTGCAACATCTCTAATTGACTGGTGTTGCCATAATTGTTTCATGATTAACACATGTTAAATAAAAAGCCTATTGATCTCTTAGAAGAACTCTGTGTCATATTATAGGAGAAATACTGTAAATTTGGGGTCATTTTATTTTGCTGACTTTGTTGTCAATACTCCCAGCAGCAACATTAGAAGCATTTTCACCATCATCGTGCCTAATTAATTTTTCAGTTCTTCTCCCTGCAGCCTGATGTATGCATGCTCCTATATGTCATAAGAGGTGACTATTGTAGACTTACTTTAATGACCATGGATGTATACTTTGACAATTTTAATATTTAAAAATTCTTGGACTTTTTTTTAAAGAATTTCACTTTTTTTAAGATTTCAACTTTGTATTTAAAGGATTTTATCATTTTTTGCCTCATATTTTAAATTCCTTTTTGGTGATGAAAAGAATTACTTGACTCAATATAGCTGTGAGGATGCTGACATGCCATTAAAAGACATACATACATACATACATACATACATACATACATACATACATACATACATACATACATACATACATACATACATACATACATACATACATACATACATACATACATACATACATACATACATACATACATACATACATACATACATACATACATACATATGTATATTTAATTTAATTGTTAGTTTTAAATTTTTTATTTCATTACATGTTATTGTAATGTAACATTATATGCTGGACTTGACTTTGTCCAAAATTGAGTTAATTTCTGCTTGACCTGATTGACTTTGTTTAATTTTTTAAAATTTCATTAATGTAAACAACTAATAATAGCTTCATTATCCTCTCTGTGTTTAATCTTATTATCAGGATTATTATTCAGTTAAAAAAGAATGAGTCAATATATTGGTCAGTGTCATAAATCAATCCTCAACTTTGTTCTAGTGGGTTACCTGGTTTTGGTTATTGTTATCTAGAGGTCATCCCTGATGGTGTAATTTGCCTGGAAAAAGTAAATGTCAACATAAAGTATAAAACTTATTGGTGGAATAAATAAAGATCTGAGTAGTTATCTAGAACAGAATAACACATAGTACCATAAAGACAAAATGTAATAAAAATTCAAAAACAATAAAATACACAAACAAGTGTGATAAACATTACAATTTGAAAGATACACTTCTTTCTTTTTGAATCAACTTACTCAAGGAATTTCAAAATAGAAATAATCACTTCAGTGGCCTATTGGTTAAAGCATCCACCTCGGATGCAAGAGTTTGTGGGTTTGATCCATGGTCAAGTCATACCAAAGACTTAAAAAATGGTACTAACAGCTGCCTCGCTTGGCACTCAGAATTAAGAGGTTAGTGTTAGGATTGGTTGGTCTGGTGTCAAGATAATGTGACTGGGTGAGACATCATGCTACAGGTCTGTGGCATCACTATAAACTGCCACACTGCAGACATCATAGCGATATAATGAAAAATTGTTAAAAGCTATGCTGAAAATCATAATCACATCACATCAAAATACAAATAAGATTTTACCAATAGCCAATCTGTTAAACAATAGAATTAAATCATCATAAAACCAAGTGAAAGATCGAAAAACACTGTCTTGTAATGATTCATAACCTGATGTACTGACTCCGTCCAATTTCACACTGATTGTTCCTTTTGACTTCCCGATGCTGGTAAGTCTGGGTCTTCTTCATTCTTTACCTTCTTTTTCCAAGATCTCTGATATCTCGCCTCTTTTGGCTTTAACAACTTTGTGTAGCCATTTTTGGTTTGTAAATCATAAGACTTTCTGTAGCTATCCCACCTAGCATAAATATAAACAAAGAGCAGTTTAAATCTTCCATCACATTATACTGGGCATAAATCGTTACTGTCATCCCTCGTTAGGTCAGATATAATTTGCTAGGTCAGATATAATTCGATCAGAATTCAAACATACCTTGGCTATCAAGTCAAATTGGTCATGACAGACCATACAAACCTAGTTAAACAAAATTAATGGTTGGCTAATTGCCATTCCAATATCCCTCTGAGACATTAGTTCCAGACCAGTCCAATTACGTAAGAGAATGAATGAAATTCCTTACACCGGGGTATATATAACAACAATCAAGTAGTTATCTTACATGAACTCAGATCGGAGAACTCACACTGTTTCTTATAATCTAAAACAAGACATGACATTCTAGATACCTAACCCTATATATAAATAAGGCATTAAATTCTAGATACATAACTTCCTAGAATAATTGAGACTGTATCATAAGAGAGCCGTCAATGTATATATAAAGAAAAATATCATTGTGTGGACTCAATACAGTTATACCATAACAAGAAAATTGATCTATAAATTTAAACAAATAAATGCAAATTCAAGCAAATAAATCAAACAGATCATCATAGTATAATCAACAAATTATATGAGATTAGTACATATTCCTTGTGCTTTCAAGCTTTTATGTCGGTCAATTTCTCCAGACAATCATCTCCACTAGATGATTTTTTTGAGTGAATTTACTTAATAATTTACTTGGAGTCTTCTTACATTCTTACTTTTTAAGTTTGTTTTTTTCTTGTAACAAAGCACAGACTAATTTTTAAATTCTCTATTAGCATATTTAAACTGAGTTTTCATGTGAAACCACGCCCCCTTCACAGTGTGTCCAATGTGTATAAAATAAAATTTCTACCTGAGCTGGAATCAAAACAATGCAGTTCATCTGACAGCTATGGTTATCCAACTGATTCCTGGTAACGTTCAGTTCATTGTAAACAAACATAGCCCTTAATTAAATATCACTAACTCACAACAGAGCCTGTACCAATCTGTGCATTATTGCAGTTTAAACACTTGCAGGTCTCCATTGATCTAATTAATTGTACATGTGTCCAACTAAAGATTTCCTAAAAAGATCAACAGCAAAATTTGCTCCATTACAGTCAGGGTCAGGTTTTGGAGATTCCTAAGTGATTTGTTTTATGCTATTGTGTTGTAAATAAACAAGGCTCATTAGATCATTCTAGAAGGTTATTTTTGATTATGTAATGGTTGTTTTCAGAAAATGCTAATTGTGACCTTCGGTCAGGCAGAGAGTTATATTATCTTGTGACTGAAGATATTACTGGTCATGCTTTGATATCTAGCACTTATATTATGTTGTGACCAGTTTTATTTTCTTCAAATTATTAAATTCAGGTGATTATTTTGTCTGCAAATACAAAAGTGCTCTGACAAAATTTTTGGATAAAGGCATTCATTGGAATTTATACTGAATTCAAACCTGGAATAATAATTATGTGATTCAACAAGAGATTGTTCAAACATGAGCACTTCACAGGCCATAACAGACACATCATTGCTTTCAATTTTGGATCTCTTCAGGACTTGAACTGAGTTTTATTCAGGACTTTTTATTACTAGGACTTGTGTCTTTAATTCTTGAATTATTTTTGGATTTAATTCGCAATACTGTAAGTCTGTAAGTTCTTTTTTTCATTTTTCACTTTGTATTCTAGGGAAATAATTATTTGTTAAATTTCACAAAGCTTGTTGTCTTCACTCTTTTCAGTTACTTATTTTAAGAGCATCGACTTGTAACAACATCCATCCATCTATCCATGACCGCTCCAGTGGCCTAGTGGTCAGAGCATCTGCTCTAGATGCAGGAGTTCATGGGTTCAAACCCCAACTGAGTCATACCAAATACTTCTAAAAGTGGTACTAACAGCTGCCTTGCTAAGCACTCAGTATAAAGAGGTTAATGTTAGGACTGGTCCGTCTGATGTCAGGATAATATGACTGGGTGGGACATGATGCTACATGTCTGTGGCTTGATTCCCCAGTGCTAGACATCCTTTTAAACTGCCACACTGCAGACATTGTAGTGATATGACTGAAAAATTGTTAAAGTTACATTAAAAATTCTAAATCACACACACACACATAAATTTAGTCCAACTGCAAACTGTTTAGACTTAGATGTGTATAAAATAACAGCAGACCTGTGTCTGGGGAGATTTTTAAAAGTAATCAGTAGAACAAACATCATAGACAGATCTGCTGGTACATAACATGACAGCAGATCAGGGTCAAGTTGTTTGCAGCTGGGCATGACTTACAAGTGAGTACAATTGGTATACTGTTTTCTGTTCGAAGTATACTTTTTGTGTCAAACAGTTCCACATTGTCACATTATCTCATCCCTAACAAAGATACCTTAATGTCATAATAAAACTATATTTTTGCCTTATTGTTGTTAACACTAGTGATGAATGAGAAGGTTTTTATTGTTAGTAACGAAATTTCATGCATATGAGTCAATTATAGTAATAATTTGTGTTTTGGGTTGGGTGGTGTGTAATGTGCTTGTCCAAACTAGCTTCAGGGATGAGATGCTGCAGTTTCTCTTGCAGGCAAGGCCAGTTTCTCCCATTGCTTTAACACTAAATACTGATTAATGTCCTCATGTGTTGTTAAAATCTACTCTATCAGTTTTTAAAGAGAGTAGAAATAATGCCTTGCTTTTTTATTCAACAACAATAAACAGATTTCATTCCTCTTGGTCTAAAGTATTCTAAGATCATACAGGAGAGAAATTTCATGCCATATGAAATTAAACAGGTTATAGATCTGCAGGTATTGGGCCATTAAATCAGACACTGGAGTTGACAATCAAGTTTGTGACATTCTTTTCCTGATTGTTTCAGGAACCTGCTGATCAATACCAAATGTAACTGGTCAACAACAAAAAAAAAGGCAACAAAAAAACCCATAAAGTTCTAACTCAGATTGTCAAGCTTGTCATGTTCATCCTCTTAACCTTTGCATGGATTAAAACATGCTTAAATAATTTCACTACATGATGTGAAAAGTGCTACAATATGAAACAGCCAGTTTATAAACTGATAATAAGGATGTTTTCCATCCATTTAGTTTTTGTTTCCACAGAATTACTTTAGTTGTCCATCATCTACAGTTAACAAAATTAGTGGATGGCTTGAATTTGGGGTAAGGAAGAATCTTATCAATTTCAGGGTTAAAGGTCAAGGTCACTTAACTTAAATTTTCCATCATCTACAGATACTACTATACTCTGTGGATGGCTTGGACTTGAAGGTAAGGAAGAATTCTAATGATTTAGGATTGTAGGTCAAAGGTCAAGGTAAATATGTTTTGCACACAATAACAGTAGTTCTACATGACATTCATCACCAAACTTTGTGGATGGCTTGCTTCTGGGGGTAAGGAAGAAGGCTGTTTGGGTGTCAGAATGTCAAAATTCAAGGACTGCAAGTGTTGTCTGCACAATAACATTTGTTATACAGCATAGACCTAACCCAAGTTTTGGTTGACTTGCAATTGAGTCATGTGAAAGAAACTTATTGATTGAGAGGTAAATATGCAAGGTCAGTGTCATTCTGTTTTGAATAAGAAAAGTGGTACATGTGCAGAAATTTTAGTTATCTAAACAGAAGACTATTAAACATATTGCTCCTGTGTTCAGCTATCTACACAGATGATTATTAAACTTGTTGCTTACATGTAAATTGCCACTGTTGATGTTCTTGGTTTAAGGTACATATGGAAATAGATCCAATTACATTATGCAGTAGTTATTTGATTTATAAAGGCCCCTAACATAAGACAACCACACCTATAATATAGTACATATTTATGGCTCTAATGAACAGTGTTACAGTGAGGGTGTATTGTGTAATGTACTTTAGTATTAAGGCAACCACACCTATAATATGGTACACATGTATTGTTCCAATAGAACAATTTAAGTATTGTGTAAAAGTTAATTGTTCATGTCACTCTGACCATGACAGATTGTAGTGTTAAAATATCTACAAAATATTATACTGTTAGTTTTACATTCAAAAAATTATGTTAGTAACTGATTTAATAACTACATTTACACTTGATGGACAAATTGATTCAAGAGGGAATGAAAATTGACAGGCCCACTTTGTTTTAATAGGATCTTAGAAAAGTGTGCATTACCTAAAAATAAGAATTGAGTGGATGTTGATGATCACCTGGAGCACTGGAATACTTTTAAGGACAAAGATGGGCTGAAGCTAAACCCAACTATTGCAGATCTTTATATTAATTGTTAGGCATATGACACAGGCTTGCAAAATATAATTTATATTAGTTATACCTTTAAAGAAAAAGTATTTTAAATGCAATGCCAAGACTGCATCATATCAAATACAAAATGAGAAGAGCGTATCGAATCGCATTATGATCACTTACCACATCAGACATAGTGTGGTGTTGGCTTCTTTATCTTTACCAAGGTGATGTCATAAAATCTTACATTTCAGTTTTCCCACAGATCTCACTGATCAACATCAGATTAATTAGTATGCATGTAAAAAATAACCATGTCTCTCAGTTCAAGGGAGAAATTACATGGCTCGTAGTGAATAAAACATCTATATTAAATAATTTTAATGGCATCCAGTGATGTTTAGGACCAATATATTTCAAGATTCAATATTTTTTAAATGATTTGGCATATACGACTTTTTGCACATAATGGTGGTATCAGGGTTTTAATTTGTAAAGGCATAGTGACAAGGCTTAAAATATACAACTTTGAACAAGTTCAATTCTGACTGGATATGTACTGTAAGGGATTGACCATTTAATGTATACAGCATATACATTTCTTTCTGGTATGGTTATTTGTTTTTTTTTAAGAACTTGATGCATTTGTTTTTAAGAAAAATGAGGACTGGAATATATTTTTTATATTATAAATCATAGTAAGGCAATTGTTTTGAATCAATTACCATGTCCCCTGTCCCCTTTTGAAAACTATATGGTCGCTACCTAATAAAAGACTTAAGCAGATGTTTACAGAAATCAAGACATTGACATTTGTCCCTACATTTTAAAATTATGGAAAAGTATCATCATAAAAAGAAAATGTCAGTTTCAGCTTGGAAAACATTTTTGTCATATGAAACCCTCTAACATGGCATGTTATAACAGCTGGTACCATCATTAACAATGAAAATTGTTTGAAAATAAAACCTCAGTTTATTGCTGAAGTAAATGATGATATGCAAAATCATAAAATTTTAGATGTTTTGAGATTTTAATTACCAACAAATTTAGGGCATTCTGCATGAATGGACATCTGCTTCATGTATCCTATTATTTGCTCTTTTTTGTAAGGGTTTGTATAAAAAAAAATAATTTTGTATCATAATATAAAAAATAGTAAATCATATGCAAAAGATTTTATTTTTATGCAGATATTACAATATACAGACTTTACTGTTTGAGAATTTGGTTATAAAGACCAAAAAATGAAAACTAATAGTTGCTGACATATTTCTGTATGTTACATATTGTTTTACAAGGTCACTATACAGCTACAGTAAAGTGGCCAAGTAGATATAAAGTATGACTTAGACATCACACACACACACACACACACACACACACACACACACACACACACACACACACACACTTTTGAGTATGATGTTGTGAGTTTGCACATATTGGAAGGAAATATTGTGTTTATTCTTTCCTCCATGATGGTATATTGTTTGGTACAGTAAATATTTTTCTTACAACTTAAAAACTTTTCCAGATTTCAGTTTCTATACATATAGATGTATAATTGGTCGATTTGTGATATTTTTAATTATGAAGATTGCCATAATATAAAAACATATCAGGCATTGAAAAAGTTGAATTTTTTTCATTTTTTAAACTCACATTGGTGACAATTTCAAGACATAAGCAGAATTATTATAAACTTTCCAAGCAATCACATATTTTTGACGTAGAATGTACAATGAGGCCATTAATTGAAGATAGCTTGGCAATCAGGGAATACTTAAACTGTTACTGAAGCAAAACATAAACCAAATGAGAGTGTTAATGCTGAGTGCAACTAATTGCAGTAACCTGTGCATTAGTGATTTCCCATATTTTATGAGGAAGAGAGCGGTATCCCCCCCCCAATTTCACCTCTAAGACTACAAAAAACATGATGCTTAGTTTTACTAGTGATATAAATATACAGGTATATAATTGGTCTACAGTTTTACACACAACAACAGTTTAGGAATATATGTTTATTCTTTTTTCAAGTATGTTTTGTGATGAGTTATTTATAATTTCTGTTGTTAAATTGTGAATTTTTTGATACAGAAAGTGAACCAGATGATGAGTGCAGTGCTGTAGGCTGCATTGTTATAACAAAATGTCAAATTACATATTTGTAAGTAGTTCTAAGCAAGAGCAGTGTCCATTTTAAACAACTAATATGACAGATGCAAGAAAGACAGTAAAGAGATAAATGCAAACATTTGATAGTGAATTTTGATTAAATCATGTTTTTCTCTTCTATCACTGATTTTTCTTTCATGAGAATCAAACATCAGAATAGCATAATGTTATACAGGATGATTCACTTATCTCTGAGTGCATTGTTTATTGTCAATATAATAGCAAAGAAAACAAACCTGCAGAAAGCAACATGTCCGTAGCAAAGAAAACAAACATGCAGAAGAGCTGGTGTCAGTTCACACATGAAAGCAATGTCAGTAGCAAAGCAAACAAACTGCATTGATGACTTATGTTGTGCTAAGTTATTTGCTTACACATGGAATTATCTTCATTACATGTTTATGTGTATCTAGAATGACTTTTTTGCCTACTAATTG